AGAGTTGTACATTAGAGAGATAGTTCGACTTCATGGGGTACCTGTGACCATTGTTTCGGATAGAGATCCTCGTTTCACCGTCTGGTTGAGGCAAAGCCTTCAAGAGGCATTGGGAACTAAGTTGACCCTTAGCATTGCTTATCATCCTCAAACTGATGGCCAGTTAGAGCATATTATTCAGATTTTAGAGGACATGCTTAGAGCTTGCATCCTTGATTTCAAGGGTTCTTGGAGGAGACACCTACCATTGATTGAGTTCGCCTATAACGATAGTTATCAGGCAAGTATCGGGATGGCACCGTTCGAGGCATTGTATGGTCGACCTTATAGATCACCAGTTTGTTGGGCCAAAGTGGGCGATGCACCAATGTTGGGCCCGAAGATTGTTAGAAAGACGACAGAGAAAGTTGCTCTCATTTGAAAGAAATTAGCTACGGCTCAAAGCTGACAAAAGAGTTATGCCAATAAGAGAAAACGACCTCTATCCTTCGAGGTTGGTGACCATGTGTTTCTTAAGATCTTGCCGAGACAGGGTCTGATGAGATTTGGTAAGAGTGGGAACTTGTCTCCAAAATTTATTGGAACTTTTGAGATTTTAGATTGGATTGGGGAAGTGGCATACTATTTGGCCTTACCGTCACAGCTTTCTGGGGTTCATAGTATGTTTCATGTATCCATGCTTAGGAAGTACGAATCCGATCCTTCACATGTACTTGATTGGGTTAACTTGGAGGTAGATGAGGATGCCTCATACGAAGAATGACCAGTTCAAATTTTAAATGTCCGAGAACAAGTGTGGAGGGGCAAGACTATACCGTTACTAAATGCATTATGGAGACACCATGGGGTTGAGGAAACAACTTAGGATGGAAAGGTGGAGTCCGCTCCAAGTATCAAGATTTATTTGAAAACACTTAGTTAATTCTAGATTGTAATTTTCTCTTGTGTTTGAGAAGAACCATTGAAATTGTTTTTTTTTTTTAAGCATGAAAACTATTGTAAGATTATTACAGTTGTTGTTGAACTTATGCTTATGATTGTCGTATTAGTGGTTGTTGGTATTGTAGCCTTAGCCCATGAAAATTTTGATGATGGTAGTAGAGTGTTATCGAGATTGAGATTTCCATGCTATTATTGAGTTGTTATTATGGATTCATTATTATCATTTGTATAGTTGTTATCACTTGGAGCCCTTTTATTGTTAAATTTTCTTTATTCATTGGAGGTGTTTGGGGAGAGATGTGACCAAATTTTGGGAAAATTTCCTAAGTGGGGGAGATTGTGAGGGTGTTGGACTTGACTAGTATTGTGTAGCAAGCTGGTGTGCTTCACTTCCGGTGTTTTGTTTATCGTATTGGGTCATTGAGAATTTTTTTTCGCTCTTACTTAACCTCCTTTAACATTTCCTGGTTAAAAATTTTGAGTTTTGGGCATTAGAATTTGTTTTGAGATGCGAAATCAAATTCTGGGTTTTCTGAGCAAAACCGCTCATGTGGGTTTGGGTTTCGCTCGAGCAGATTTTCTGTGAAAGTTTTGAGTTTTCTCTGGAGCAAACTGCCTGTGGAGGCATCAGAATCCGCTCGTGCGGGTTTGGGATTCTGCTTGTGCAAAATTCAAACCGCTATTGCAGATTTCGGTGCGTCTATCTCGAAATTTAAGCTCTTTTCCTCAAAATTGATGCCAAAAACATGTTCGACACACTTTTTCACTTCTCTCTCTGTATACTCATCTTTTCTCTTCTTTCTCTCTACAAACACACCCAAATCCAAACTTCTCTCTAAGATTTAGCTAAAATCTTTAAGAATTTGAGAGAGCTTTTAACACCAAATCGAAGAGGGGCAACGAGGGCTACGTTTACACCGATTGAATCGAGTGTTCATCAACATTGAGTTTTAGGGTTTTCTTACATGTTTGGATCATGATTTTGGATTGATGAACTCTAGATGATATTAGAAGTGGATTTTCTCTGTTTTTTTCCAAAACTTTTGAGAGTGTGAACTATGTTCTAAAGTGTGAATGTTGTTTTGGAAAATTCTTTTCAAAAATGGAACAAAAACATAGTTTTGATGGAAACTCTAGAAATTTTGGATTTTGGGAAAGATGTTGAATTATTGTGAAATTTATGCTTGATAAGTTGTTATGTGAATAAATGATTGAAGAAATTTCTATAGTTGTATCAAATGAGAAAATTTCATGAGAAAATTAGAATTGTTGATTTGGGAAGCTTGAGGAATAGCTTATTATTATTTGTCTTGGAAAGACCAAATTTTAAAATGATGGTTAATATGTGAAGAATGCATAAATGATGGCATTGTTATATTATCTCTTGTAAAATGTATTATAATGTTACATTGATAAGAGATGTGGAAATTTGATTACAACGGAGGATTGTGTGGTGGAATTGATAATGAAACTATATTAATGAATTGTTACATTTTACATTACGATTCTATTTAATCATTGTTGCAATTGATTTTGAATTTTGTATTGGAAATTTCTTACTTTGAGAAAGAAATTGTTTCGTGAAACAAGATCACCTTGAATTGTTTTGGAGTAAATACGTTGGTAAATTCGGATAGGAGGTGTAGTTTGGTATTGGTTAAGTTGGCCTGAGTGTCCATGTTGAAAGATTAAAAACACGCGCAGAGGAGGTACCACGTGCGTTCTAGTTAGCAACCGGTAAAGTGATGATTGGTAGTGCTTGATATGCCTACTTGTAGACACCAACCTAAGGATTATGTGAGTTGTATTTACCACCCTTTAACTACATTGAAGTTATTGAATTGTTGCATTTTCAAATTGCATTGAGCACACGATTTTCAAAAGATAGAGATATATGTTTTGAGCATGACATGGGATATGCATTCATCTCAGGAGACTATATAAAATGTATTTACTTTGTTAAGATCTTCCTACTGGATTTTGTGTTCACCCTATGGTGATCCCGCCAAGTTAAAGGCATGGAATGTATTTTGAGAGCACGCGACTCTTATCTTTTGTTGTAATTATTTTTGACAAGCCAAGGGTTTACATGTATGGATTCGAAAAGCATTTTTGTGTAACCGGGTTTAAGCCTTAGAATCTGTAGCCCTTGAGGGCATTGAATTGTACTTGACTTATTGTAGCACATACTATAGATTTATATCCTAGGAATGTTGAATGTATAATCACATGTGAAGTACTTTTTTAGTAAATCTCTAGAGGTTAATGAATACAAAAGTTAGAGATTGGAAAACAAGATGAGGTTTTATAATCACATACTAATGATGAGGTTTTATATTCCATATATTTTAAGCAATGGAAGCTATTAATTTGGAAAAACAAGATTATGTTGTTGGAAGATAACGAATCTTTTTGTGTTAATTTCTTTGGGGCGTTACACGGACAATCAATATTTTATACAAATCTCAAGAGATGTATTTTGAGTCATCATGTGACGTGTACTTTATTATTTTGATGTTATATATGATTGGTATGAATTATTAAATGAATATAATGGCCTAAAATAGTTTTGAAATAATATTTTATAAAATTTAGTTAAAATTTTAAAAATATGTTACGATGTATGTGTTCTAAAAATATAACATAAATAAATATATATAATAATTTTATTTGAATTATTTATGAATATATCTATGTATACATATGTATAAAATTATTTAAAAAATATATTGTGAAATATGCACTACAATCTTCACTCTACCGAACTATAAATGTGTATTTAATATATATATACTATTATATATGTGAAGGCGTGTTGACATCTTATTTTTTAGATTTTTTTCAAAATACCTCTATAGTAGCTACATGGCCAATTATGTTCCAAATTCATTTTTTTTTCTTTCAAATCTCTCAACTTCACGTGCCGTCACTTCTAGTATATGTACAAAGTGAACATAGAGAAGAAAGTGAGACTCGAACCTATAACCTTGGTTTGGTAAAGAAAACTTTTACCACTTAAGTAGCATGATTTTGTTTTGTTTTGTTTTGTTTTGTTTTTAACTTATTTGAATAAGCCACTAGTACTCTCATAAAGTGAAGGCTTCTCATGTTGTTGACACAAAACATCACATTTTGATTTTCAAAAATGCTCTTATACCCTATTTAAAATATAAAATTATGTAGAAAGAAGACTAAGACCCAAAACCAAGACCTTCAATTTAGTAGAAGAGACCCTTACTACTTGAGTAGCACACAATTTGTATGCTTTTAAATTTAAATCAAAATTTATATTTTTCAAATTTAACAGCATACATGGGGTGGACAAACACCACTAGTATATATATATATTGGCTCCGTTTGGGAAGTTTTGGTTTGGGCTTTTTTGGTTAAAATAGCCACAAAAAAACAAAATAGATTTTTTAGCCCAATAAGACAAAACATCGAATCCAACCCATAATCATTACATTCTTTCTCTTACAAAAAGTCAAAAAAGCTAAAAAGTCAAAAAAGCCTTCCCAAACGAACCCATTATAAACACTAGTTTCGCCTATGTTTGTTTTGTAATATATATAGAAATATATGATTCAAATTATATGTATATTTCAGGTTATTAGTTGTAAGATTAAAAAATTTATCTATTTTGTTAGATATACACTGCTGGAAAATTAGCATAAAACGGTGCTATAGATGCAAAAAAACGTCGCTAATTCTTTTTGTGACATTTAGTATCAAACGTCGAAATCGTGGCCGTCGCTATAGCTTTATGACGTTTTAAAAACATTGTTATATTAGTATAGACAGTGTTTTTAAAAACGCCGCTAAATGTCCTACATAACAGTACCATAACGTCACTATGATATTTAGCAACGTTTTTAAACTGCCATCATATCTTTTTTTAAAAAAAAATTTGACCATTAGATTTAGGGTTTAAGTGGCGTTTTGAAAAACGCTGTGATATCCTTTTTCATTTATTTATTTAATTTTTTTTGAAATTGTGCTAATTTTAAACCCATCAAGAAGTATTTGGAGATTCTAAGAGATAGTTTTTGAACTGCTCTGCAAAAGAAAAACATTATTAGAAAAGGTTATAATATGGTAATTTTAAAGAACTCAGTTGAATAGATGCTAGTGTAAAAGAAATTGTTGGAGTTACTACTAATACATCCAAATGCACAATTCATGTAGTCAAGTAGTCTAAGAGTATACATCAATGAAAGCTTTCCATAAAAACAATTTGCCTTCTGAAGCGAAGCTCATCACATGCAACCATTCCACGCATGCCTGTCTGAATAGAAACAACAGAGGAGCACAATTCTTTATAAGCTTTCCTAGCAAGATGCATACGAAAATCTCTCTGAATTCTCAGACAAGAAGCTTCTCTCCTAATGTTCACGTAAACTTCCTGAGCAAGTTGTCCTGTAATCAGCACAAGGAAAAAATCAATGAGTCATATACTTTCAAGACCTCAGACCTCAGCAATGAGCTAATTAAAAAAGTACAACTGAAAAGACACATCTAACACAATAACTACCTCTACACATATTGAATCTGACCAATAAAGAATCTTTGCATCTTATAATTTGTAATTTGCAAAGGGTACCAAACCAATAAAGAATTGACTCAAAAAGGAAAAGAAAACACAAATAAGTAGAAATCTCCTTTACATCCTATGTCCTAATTATCAGTCTATGTAGAGGAAAAAGAAAGGAAAATAGAAGTTACTCCACAAGACTACCTCTTTGCTCTAGAAAGGTAGAACATAGAAAATGAAACTAACTTTAAATTTATATCTGATAAGCCAATCAACACGTGTTCATTTAGAATATAGACAAAATAGGTTGTTGTTCTGGCATCATGCAATTGAATAACAAGTGCTGTGATATAATCATATAACATACACAAAATAGGTTCCGAACAACAGCCGAGCAAATCTGAATGCCATTCATCATCCCAATTTGAACCTCTGGTAGACAGCAGATCAGATCACATCCGGATGATACTGAGGAAGTGTTTCTGCAAAGAATTTAGACAAAATATTCTCGTATCAGGCAACTAAGTTATGAATTCAAGCAATCTACTAGTTAAAATTTGTTGATGATTCAATGAATTACATGACAGAGTAAACAAATTAATTGTTTTATGATAAGCACGTATTTCAAATTAATGAGGCAATATAGGCCATTTGACACCAACACAAACTGCATTTTAAGGGATGATTTCACTCTCTTCTACAATAACAACAACAACGACAACGACAACAAAAAACAAAGAAACAAAAACAAAAACAAAAACAAAACAAAACAAAAAAAAAAAAAAAAAAAAAAAAAAAAAAAAAAAAAAAAAAAAAAAAAAAAAAAAAAAAAAAAAAAAGAAAGAGAGAAAACAAACCTTGAAGTTGAGTGAGTCTCACTTTGCTTAGTATAGCTTTCATCATATGAATGCTCCTTTTCACTATTAACATCTGAATAATTCTACTCCACCTTTTTGGAATTTCTCATGGGTGAACTCTTCTCAAATACAGAATTTACAACAACAGCCTCTGTGACATCAAGCAGATGTTAAATTACTTCACACTCACCCACATCGAAATAGGCTTGTGAACGTTGTAGTTCTAACTAAAGCTTTTCATTTTCTTTTTGGTGTGCCTCATTAAAAGGCAAGTTTGGGTAGGAACAAGAAAGAGTTTTCTTCAACCACATAGTGTCATTTTTTGAGAGGTCCGGTTTAAGAATTACATCTTGAACCTTCCTATCCTCATCGTCCAATGTATATTCACGTTGGTCCCTTTCAATATCCTCCAGTCTTTCCTGCCAATTTGAGGGAAGTGAAAATCAATTTACATTAACAAATTAACCTTATCATAAAGAAAACTGCACATAATAGTAAAAACGATATCCTGTTAACAATATCCAAGGGTTCCATTCCAAATATTTTGGCTACCATGTCAAGCAGAGTTCACTATATGCAAAAATATAGAAATATAATCCACAACTGCATCAACAAAATCAAAAATCATCTTTTTCAGTCATAGCCCCAACCAAACAAATATTAGAATCTACAAATTGCACTTCACAAGAAATGCCACTGCATGATGTATAGAAAAAATATGGTGGTCATTGTAGAAGGCAAAATAGAGGGAAAAAATATAGTAAAAAAAAGGGCTAGCATGAACATATATCATGGCTGGCTAGTCATATATCACCGCAAGGTTAAAGGACAATAAACTAATTATTCTTACCAACACTATATATAGAGAGGGTGTATCCAAGGGCAAAGAGATAGTATAACAGTACTTAATAGGTTAACTCCTATCACCAAAAGTGTGCATTGCATTCTAGCAAAACAAATCACAGCTACTAAGAAAAAAAATGTCCAGTATATGAGAATTTTCACAATATGTAAACAGTGTACAAAATACGAAGAAGGGACCAAGGCAAAATTATTTAGATTTTGAAGGGGACAAAATATTAACTTCATTAAAAAATACTCAAAATACAAAGGGGGCAAAATGGGTATTATGTGACAAAATATGTTACAGGATTTGTGTCCACCAATGGGTATTATGTTATAAAATAAGGTAATAGATTTGTGTTCACATTAGCTAAAAGCATTTTGTTGACATTATGTTACAAAATATGTTACAGGATTTGTGTTCACATTATGATGTTTTTCTTTTTGTTCGTTTTCTATTTGGGCAATAACAGTAGGAAGTTATTGACTTAAGAGTAACCCATTACCAGGTAGTATCATCTGCGAGAGAGAGAGAGAGAGAGAGAGAGAGAGTTGTGAAACATTTCATTACAAAATGAAAATTTTGTACTACTAAATTTTCAACTTGGTTTCAATTTCAAGGCCACTGTCAACAAGCTAGCGTTCCAACAGTAATCAATCAGCAAAATACACAATTTTAACAAACTTCATGTGCTTAGACTTAACTAGCAGGAAAGTCCTATCAAACAATTTAAAAAAATCAGTCCATGCAGTTCCAGTAAGGTTACAAAAACCAATGTTCCATAAAAAATAAGTCTTAAGGCAGCTGATTGTGTGGGTAGTAAAAAAAAATTCTTGATTGGAAATAAAGACATAATTTTTTTAACAAAGTTCACATCCACCAATAAAAATTCATCAAATAAAATTATACTAAAAGAACCCAACTAAAATACACTAGCAAACAGAGAGGGGAAAATTAAATAAATAAACCCAAAAAATATGAAAATTATTCACCAAACTTTAATTAACCAAAAAAAAGGACAAGGAACAAAAATAATAACAAAGATTTATATAATACCTTGACTCGAGCATTACGTAGACGTCCCCGAACGCCCCGGGAGGGTGAGTCCCGTTCTGTTCATTTGGGCTCACTACATGTTCGGACTCTCAAATTGTCATGGTTCTAAATCTGAACAAAAGAGTCCAAATCCGGCAAATCATTTTGAGAAAACAGATTTTGAAAGAAGTGCCAAACATGGACTGCCTTGCCAGATACAGAGTTGCCACCTAAATGTTTTATTTTGGGAAAATTTAGGAAACCCTGACTCGTTTGCCTAAGGCCACGTGTCCGTCATCACCAAAGTTGCCTCGGCTCGGGAACTTGGGTACGATTGGGGAAGGTCACTTCGTGAGCACCCCCGCTCGCCCGATCAAAGATCAGCCTCTACTAACCATGATATCTAGTTTTGAAAACATTAGCTTTCTTATTTTGGTTATTAGCCTAGATTTACTATGTGATGCACGCAATATACAAGTATAGACTGGATCGCTTGAATTGGAACAAAATATCTCATGTTTGTTTATTTGAAAGCGGTTTGCTACTCGCAAGTAGGCTTAAAATGCAGATTTTGCCACCCTCGGGTGGGCTTAGAAAACATGCTTTTGCCACTATCTAGTGGGCTTAAAACTCACATTTAATGAATTGTTCCAATCCAAATAACCCAACCTTCACCCACAGACATTCAGGCAGATATATCACATAAGCATATAGCCTCATGGTAAGCATGCTATCATGGCAGTCACTCACACACATGCAAGGATGCTAAAGCATAAACACTTACCGAGTACTCCAAGCCATAACAAAAGCTATGTTAGAAATCCGTGCATGATCCTAACTATACAGAAATGCCTAATGCAACACATGCAAAATGCAACTAAGGTAGGCTCGGCTATTCTAAAGATGGCATGTGAAATGCTACAACTAACATGTATTCAACTTGGAATTGAGATACAAATGCAGTTAGTATGATGCGCCGAGCCTGGTGCATGCAAGACAGATGAATGAATGAAAACATGCTATCATACTGTATGCTAATTGAAACAATCCTTAATCTAACCATCATAAGCTGATAAATAAAAGGGAGAAAGACGTGGGGTTGGAAGACATACATCACACACACGTACACTTATTACAACATTGCCCTCGCGCAGAGGGTCCGAATAAATAATACAGTCCCAGATGAATAAATAATACAGTCCCGAATAAATACAGAATCCTAATTAATTAACAAATTAATCTAGGAAAAGTAGTAAATTGGCACGCAAATCCATGGACCGCCTCAGCTCTGTTCCAAATGATGAATGATGCATGCTCGAGTTGCCTTGCGCGGAAATTCATTGCGATGCCCCGGTTTGCCTATGTTTGCAATTGTTCTTGGGATGCGTGCCAAGCTCCGGAAGGCTGTCGATTTCTGATTTGCTGCAACAGAGAGCAACACAGGGGCATGGCAAAGTATTTTCACATATGTATGCATGACTACTCTTCAGGGAGTGTAGTCCTCGATCCTCGTGCCACCAATCACGCATCTCAATGCATGATGGCCGAGGAGTTGATTTGCACGACTCAATATGAAATCAATGCACATATGGACACAACAAGGCCTAAACTCCATCATGGGTAATCCGGAATGTCGGCGACAGGGAATTGAGACACGTTCCGTCACTCAGAGTACGAAACGTCCCTCGTTTCCCGTGCTTGGGCTAACTCCTATCCCAAGCACTATGCAATATGCATGACATGCATGAATGCGATCCTAACATGCCTCCTAGCATACACAGTGCTATGAAATGGCATACACAATGCACGATGTAACGAGGCATACACAATGCTCTAACATACAACCTAGCATGCACAATGCTGCGAAATGAAATGGCATACACAATGCATGATGGACTTATACCAACATGAGTGGACCTCAGCCACACTCACATCAGTAGCCATTAGGTGAAAATGAGACTCTCGAAATGCATGCACGCATGCACGCAAATCGAGGACCGAACCTAAGGCATAACATGCAACTCTAACAAGGCATGGCAAGGGATACAAGATGGCATGCAACCTCACAAATTCCAGCACTGAAATATGATGCTAAACAACCCCGAAACATGGAAAAATGGCACCCGATGCATGAGATGAAACCCGAAACTCGAAACTAGGCACATGGAATGACTTATAGCTATACAAAGCATGCATTATTTGATCATGAAGCATGGAGACAGAGCCAAGGCAGTCCAAAAACATGAACATTTCCAGTTCAAAGCATGGCCAAAAGATGCTAGCATGGTGGACAAAATAGCATGCAATCTTGACTAGCAATCATGGTTTACATGGCAAGTATATGAATCAAATGTAATCTCACCAAACCAGCAAAAATCAGTGAATAAATCATGTGAAAATAGGCCCAAATAACCACTGATATGCAACCATGGTATGCAAAAATAATGAATTACTTTGGAAGGCCATGCAAGGAGTTATTAAGCACATGCAAGGTAGACATTTAGCATGGCATGAACAGCTATGAAAATCAAATATGGTAGTCCTAAAACTCACCAAATTGACCCTGGAAAGTGACTTCAAAGCATGCAAGATAGGGTCTCTTTGGAAGGCCAAAATGACCACCAAACAAGTCAAGGAGAGAGGGGGTCACCCCCCTCTGATTTGAAGGCTCAAAATAGTGTTCTAGCCATTGAAAATCCACTGGATTTTAGTGTCTAGAAGGCCAAACAAAGCATGCAACAAGAGCTTAGGTGTAAGGCTCAAAACAAGGGAGAATCAAGCATACAAGGAAGCATGAGACCTCAAATATGAAAATTCCCTTAATAAAGCATGAATATAATTTCAAAACAAGCCTTTTTCCAGTTTATAACAAATCTCAAAAATGAACACAAATAGGGCTAATCTATCATGCAAAAAATGGCCCTAAAAGAGAGAATAGAGATAAGGTACAACAGCTGGCCCCCAAAAGTGAAGATCCCTTCAACAAAGTTGAAGAGGGGCTCAAAATGAAGCACTTTACAGTTTATGACCGAGTCCAAAACAGCTCACAAGTAGGGCTACAATATGATGTAAAAAAAGGCCCTAAAAGAGAGATAGAAAGCAAGAGGCAGTAGCTGGCCTCAAACAGTGAAGATACCTTCAACAAAGTTTAAGAGGGGATCAAAATGAAGCACTTTACAGTTTGGCTCGAAGCCCAGAAATGCTTACAAACAGGGCTAACATATCATGCAAGAAATAGCCATAAAAGAGAGATAAAGAGAAAGGGGTAGCAGGTGGCTTCAAACAGAGAAAAACCCTTGATCAAACATGAAGATAAGCTCAAAATAAGACCATTTCCAGTTTGGGTCGGAGCCCAAAAATGCTAGAAAATATGGCTTCGATATAGAGCAAAATAAGGCAAGAAAAGAGGAGAAGAAGACTTACCCTTGAAGACCAAACTGCAGCAGCTCTCGGACAAAATTTCTGAGCTCTCAACCTCTTCAAAACAGTCCCAAAATGCTGGAATGGAGGATGGAGGCCTTGTGCTATGGGTTGGTGTGTAAATGGCCAAGAACCAAGGGTGTTTTGAGGCTTGGAAGAGAGGGAGAGGGAGGATTGTATGCAGTGGCCCTAAACAATTTTTTGTAACCCTTAGAAATGGAGAAGAGTGCTAGTTTTAAAGAGGGAGAGAGGCCAAGGAAAGGGGGGGAAAAACAAATTCAAATTTCCCCCCCCCCAAAAAAGACAGCCCCCCGGATACAAAATCTGGGTGAAAACAAATTGCATAGTTGGAATACACTTGGAGAGAGGATCATGGCCGGCCAGGTTCAAAAGGTTCAGGTGGCCGGCCGGCTTGGGGTCAAAAGGGTCAATGAAAATTGCTGGCCGGCCACCTAAAAAAGGTGGCCTCCCATGTGTGCACAACACAACTATGTGGTCAAAACCCAGAAAATGTGAACCAGGAGAGAGAAAAGCCAACTTTTTAGAGGGCTTCAAAAGGGTCAAGAAAAATTACTGGCCGGCCTATACATATTGGTGGCCTCCCAGGTGTGTACAACACAAATATAGGGTTTAGGGCTAAAGAAAGTGGCCCCAGGGTGGTCAACATTAGCTTTTTAGTGAGGAAAACGGGCGACGGAGAGCGACGAAGAAATAAAGCTGGCTTTTCAAAACAATTGCTGGCCTCCCACCCTCCTACAAGCTTCTTAACAATGAAAATAAGGTCTCCACCAAAAATGAACCGAAACGGATGCAAAACGGAGGTTCGGGGATCGAAACGCGCGGCCCGGGGCCCCGAAAATGGGCTATTAAGCACCGGAGGTGGCATTCGACCACGAAGTTGGTCTCTTGGGCCATAGTGTTCCTCAAAAGGGAGGAAATAAGGTGTATACCAAAAACCGGAGCAAACAGAGGTGGTTAGGCGGTCCCGAACCGAGGCACACGGCCGACGGCTCCGAAAATCAGAAACTGGGCTCCAAACGGAAAAAACTGGCCTACGGTCGCGAAACGTAGCCTACAGCCACTGAGAGATGGTCTACGAGACCTCTCCCTCCCTTCGGGAAGAGAAGACAGAGAAAACAGTGCCTGGTTCGCAAACCGAGGCAAGGCACGAAAGAGTCCGGAAATTCGGAGGCAAGGCTTGCAGCCGGGACTCTGAAACTTCTGAACAGGCATAATATGCAATATCACCGAGCGCTCAATCAGTGACGTCTGAGTCTTAAGGTCGGTCAAAAATGGGGTGTCTACACATTATCAACAAGAGTTATGAGAAGGACGAAAAAAGAAGGCAGCCAACTTCGTTTCCAACACCATGTAAAAGCCACCCTTCCTTACCCCACAACGCAGTTGTTGTAGAACATTACTATTCTCAAAAATAGCTGGCTTAAGAAGATTATTGGGCTTCACACAGCAAATATAAGGAGGCTCAGTTGAACTCAAAGTTTCAAGCAATTGTTGCAATTGTTGCTGTAAAAAGTACAACAGGAATTTCTTAAGTCAAGCTATTGTACAAAAGAAGTAGATAATTTAAGAGAGAGAGAGAGAGAGAGAGAGAGAGAACATCAGACCTTGAACTGTGAAGCTATTGAAGAGAACTTTGATTGTTTAGAGGACTCCTCGGATGCAAGGGGAAAGAAACCCGACACAAAGGAACATTTGGAAGCACTCAAGAGTGCTTGATGTTCAGCAATGACATAATCTTTGTTTTTCTCCAGAAAAAAATTTAGTTTGATAGGTGACCTGAAAAATAAATTGAAGTGTTGGTTAATGTTTTTTGTTTCAAAAGTGTATATTCTGAAGCTGAATGAACTATTAAATAAATACATATAATAACACAAGAATAGAAACTTACATCACCAGCATAATGGCAAACCAACAGATAAGTCCACTGCAGGTGCAAGATGTGATGTCCTAAAGATAAAAATTTAAAACCAGGAATTAAAAGTCATGATGTGCTGTTGTGTTATCTTTTTTTTTTTTTTTTTTTTTGATCAGCGAAAAAAGAATTTTATTGATGCAAAAGAGAAACAAAATACATCAATAAAGAAGATGGATGCACTAGCATCATAGTGAGCAAAATGATCCCAACTAGGTTAGGGCACCATAGAACAAGCTCAATCATCTGTAGCATCACATCAAGTTGGTGAGCAACCTAGTTGTGTTATCTGAAGAGAAGTCAGTTTCAAGAAAAAAAATTCAAGTTGAGATAAGAGTAATTAGACAAAGACAACTAGTTCAGTTTGCTTCCATGAATTTTATTTTCCTAAAGTTTCAATCAGCAATGCAACATCATACATAGGATTCAGAATTCAAATTTCTTTTGACTTCTGAAAGGATTTGAATTTGCCACCACGAAATCAGCAACCCTACCAAATTGTGAAGTCCAATCAAGTTTAGGTTTAGTAACTGAACATCAATAATTCTTAAGATAAAATATAACATTTTCAAAAAAAAAAATCAAGATATTTAAATTGTATGGATGAATTTGTCTAGCATAAAAAGGAGGGAAAAAAAGATCAACTGCATGATATACAACACAATTGCAAGACCAATCATGTACTCTTTACAGCACTGGGAAGCAGGTTGAAGATGAGGTTTTTGAAACTGTTGTATCAAGCAAGAATATCCCCAAATTGATATCATTAATTCAAAAACAATTTCTTTATTTTTATATAACAACCAAATCGTAATTCTAATTGGGTTTCCACTTTCCACCATAATTTTTTCCCTCTCACTAATTCAATTATTTTCATCTTCTTTTAATTATTTTTAGTTTTTTAGGGTAAAATTTCTCATATTTCCAATTCACCATCCAACCCTAATCAAGAGTAAAAACAATATTTACATGAATTTAACAACAAAACAGCCAAAACAAAACAAAACCCCCCCCCCCCCCAAAAAAAAAAAACAAAACAAAACAAAACAAAACAAAAAAGAAAAGAAAAAAAATCAAAAAAAAATTAATTACTAAATAAATTTGAATTAAAAGCTAACCTCAAGAAAAGTAATCTCTCTCTCTCTCTCTCCAATATTTGAACCTTAGCAAGCTCTCTTCACTTCCCATACAAATCTGGATACTCCGGTGGCGGCAACGACGGTAGCACCGAAGAAAAAGAAGAAGCAGCCATCACTCACTCACAACTCATTAGTGAAAAACAAAGAAAAGACAATGAAAAGAAAGAATCTCTGCGATGAAACAGAGCGTATTTTTTTCCCAGTTTTCTCAGCAACCAAACAAAGAAAAGACAATGAAACATAGCATATACGACTCATCAGTGAAAAATAATTGCTGAAACAAAGCACATACAGCTCATCAATCACTGAGAGAGAGAGAGAGAGAGAGAAGAGAAGGAAGAACTTCAGAGAGAGAAAGAGAAACGGTGGAGCTCACCTTAGTAGATGATGGTGTAGATGATGGTGCAGATGGTGGAGATCGATCTGAATCTCTGCGATGAAATCACTGAGATGAAATCGTTCTGAATCTCTGAATCTCTGCGCTGAAATCGCTGAGATGAATCTCTGAATTGCTCTGATGAGGGTTTCGAGAGGATTGAGAGAGAGAGAGAGAGAGAGAGAGAGAGAGAGAGAGAAAGAGAGACAATGGAGCTCACCTTCATTGGTGCTCACTACCTCGCTCTGAGAATGAACAAGCAGTGGAGCTTCGAAATCGCTCTGAGAGAGAGAGAGAGAGAGAGAGCGCTCGAGATTTGGGTCTTAGGTGAGTCTCAGATTCAAAATTAGGGTTTGAAAAGGGGGGGAGACCAAGCGCGTGAGGCACAACGCATTAAAAACGCCTCCTATTATAAAACGGTGTCGTTTTGTTAAATAAATATGCGACGTTTTATAAAACGTCGTTAAAAATTAAAAAAAGTGACGTTTGAAAATACATAGTTAAAACCATGCCGCCTAATCCCTTTTTTCCTGTTGTGATAATAGCCATTAGAATATAATCTGAATAATAAAATTTACAGTCAAATAATAAAATGACTCAATCTTATGCTATACACTACAAGAAATTAAGGTTTTAAAGACAAATTTTTAGGAACAAAAATAATTTGTCTCCAAAAATTATACTTTTAAGGACAAAATGAAAGAATTTTAAAAAAATATATATTTAATCATATTGTTACATTTTCTAGACAAATTTACTTGGTTGTAAAAAGATCAATCACTATTCCCTACAATTTTAATTGGTTCCTAATTAACCCAAATCATATATTATTGTATTTTATATATTAATTTTTGAACTTAATAATCGGGACTATCAAAAAACAAAAACAAAAAAAGCATCAGTTTCATCACTCATTCTCTCCCTCTCTCTCAAATCCCTAAATTCTTTTCATATATCAGGTTTCAAATCCCTAATTTCTTTTCATCACTCACTGTCTACAGATTCGATATTCTGATCTGTGGTTCATCATTGTCTCATAGCATCTCTCTCCGTTGCCGCCTCATCTCTCTCGATTCTCCGATTTCCCGGCGACTCTTCGGTAGCGATTCCGATTAGGTACCATTATATATGTATATACATACATGTATGTATCCGTATAATTGATTTGATATATCAATTTTAGCCATGTATAGATTCATGTGTTTGTTCAATCAAATTTACCAAATTGAAATATGCAGATCTAAGTAATGATTTTCCATACTTCATCTTCTGGTAGGTAAGAATACCAGAAAGTACGCGAGCAAAGAGGTTTACATTATTGTGGACTCAAAACTGCATCTAAATCTACCTAAAAACATTTTCGTGTTTGATCCTTAACAGTAGCATGCAGGACTAGTCTCAAGTTAAATTAGTTCTGTATTGGTGTTGAATAGATAACTCAGAGCTCCTTGTGTTCAGTGATTTGTAATCAAGTGTATTGGTTGAATGAATTGTGACATAATAAAGTGGAAAATAGAAACTACATGATTTTGCCAGATGAAATCATTTCATTCATTCGTGAAATCCTCTGAATTTGCTGGATGAAATCTTTTTGCACCCCCTCTGTCCTTTAAATTTGCTGTATGATTTCATGTCATTGGTTTGGTTACCACAGATTTAAGCAAATTTTGAGGAAGGTTGAAACACAAATTTGTTACTAAGAAGAGTAGAGAATGAAAATATCAGGAACTATATTCATTGTGTGGATTGGGAAATCTCACGTGTTTCCCCTTGATACACAGCTCTACACACCTAGTTATCCGCTAAACTACATCTTTTAGGTGTAAGTCAGTTTCTGTTAACAGAGCAAGGGTATATATATAGGACTTGAGAGCATCATTAATGTGGGATCAAATATACTAGAGACTTGTTTAATATTACTTTTGTAAGCAACCTAAGTTTGATTCATAGTGTTTAGTCACATCTCTACCCACATCTAATTGATTTACTTTAGTGTTTGTTAAAGCTTTACAAAAACTGTATTGTTGACCAGATAATTTTGATTATGGAAAACAACAAATTTTATCTATGAAGGAACATGAGTTAAACATTTTAATGAATATCAAAGCATTTGGACCTGCAATGCAATGCCTATACATGTGCAAGGTATAAATAAAGGAATCAGGACTATACCCAACCCAACTGTCAAAGGCCATAGATGCTCAAACTTAAAATGGAACACAAAATTAGAACACTATTAGAAGGCTACACTGTTACAATCCACATATATATATATATATCTAGAATTCCATAAACATTATCTTGCAATTTAACTACAAAATAACTAATTAAGTTTGTCTAATGAAGATTATCTATACTATTTTTTCAATGGATAACCTAGCTAATCTATTTAATTGAGGTCGACCAAAAATAATTTGCTGCTATTTAATTTTCTAAGGCTTTTGAAATTCTATATATATTGTTTGATTTCGTTGGAAATGCCTCTTTTTTATACTTTCAGTTATATAGGTTGAGTAAAATTAATGTTGTTCTTTTTCTATGTGTTGAAGAGTTCTTGAATTGCCAATATGAATCTTATTTATTTTTTTCAAAAATACAAATCTATACAAATCTACTTGCTGTTATTTACTGAATGTGCCATTTTACTAAGGATATTTTGCATCTTTGAATATTAGTTGTGAAAAGGTCTCCTTGCAATTATGCTTAACTGGAAGTCTGGGACTAAGGGGTGATGATGAATCCACAGGAGTAACATATTTGCATGAATGCTAATGTATAACTAAAGATTACTCTGAAAAACCCTATTATTCTGTGTGGTTAAGAGTTGTAGTAGTTTCATTTAATGTTTCCAAATGTTGACTAATTTGGGCAATTGAATTACTTAAACCAGAAGCAGTTTGGCAAATCTGTGAAAACTTTGTTCTTGTTAGGTGTACTATAATTTATGTATTTCCTTTATTTTGAGAGCTAGTCTTGAGGGCTGTAAGTGAGTTGGTCAGTAGCAGTTTCAATTCTGTAGTAAAAGGGAAATTGTAAAGAAATTTGCATCTGGTAACTTGCGTTGTGCATAATCCACTATATGATTTGTCCATCTGATGACACTTCTAATTGGCAGTGAAACTTGGACTAGATCTGTTGGGATGTTATCAAATGTAATTATTTTTCTTTCTTAATGGCAGGACTATCTTGCAGCATTGGCAATGACTGACTTGGCTTATAGTGTCATCTTAGACCATACTCTTGCGGAAAAGGAGCGCAGGTTTGTACCATGTGCTTAGTTGTGCTACTGTTAATTAATTTTATTTTATTTTTGTTGGTAAGATATATGTAATCCTATGTAGTTCTTTGAGTGTGCAAATTTTCATTTTCTATTATGATTTTTACACAGAATTTGAAGTTTCTGTTGAAATAATTTCACTTTAACAAAATGGAACCTAACACACTTCTTACAAAAAACTCTGCATGTTATATCTTGGCATTCTGATGATGACAAGCTTTATGGACCAACTCCGGAAATCGCCTCAGTTTCCGTTGTTACCACCCCACAACAATTTTATATCTGTCTTCAATATTTAATGCACTGGAAGAATGCACTGCATGATTCTGCTTAATTTCTGGTTACTTGTACTAAATCTAATGGTATATACTATCTATTAATATATATGCATAAGTATATATGCAGTGTAGAAATATATGATATATATACCCTCAGCTTCTCAACAGGTATGTCCACAAGAGGCAGAGGACGAGCAGGGTATGTACCTAGACCCCATGCGCCTACACCCCATGCATCCACTAAATCAGTTCGCTCATCCACTCAATCAACACCTGGACTTCATGCATCCATTAAATCAGTTCGATCATCTACGCTGCACCCATTTACATCAGAATCGGTACATGAAGTTGCGTCACAAATTTCACACTCGGATACTTCTAGCGCACATTCCAGCACTGATGGTTTGTAAATGTTTTAAGTTTATGTTTTGTTTTGGTTGGTGGTCTCGTCTTTTCAATCTATATATTAACATGATACTTTTTCATTGTTTTTAGTAGGCACATCCAAGGGTAAGAGAGGACGTGGGAAGTCATGAAGCCTGCTCTAGGTGCGTACAGGGTTAGGGTTTGATTGAGCTGACTCAGGTGGGTTTTGATTTCTTTAGGTGTTTTGTGGTTTTTCAAAAATGTGGAGGGATGCTGGAACTCCTGCTGATTCTTTCTGAGGTTCGGCCCGAATGCATCGATGTTTCCAAAACCAAATTCCAAATCAAGGTTTGTTAATTCTTCAAAGCTAATTGTTTTCTTCGACATACCCATGATTGTTAATTGCTAAATTTCAATCAATATTGTTGAGAACCTAGTCCACATTGTTGCTTTTTTTTGTATTTGGAATTAATAATTAAAGCACTAGATTGTTGGTTGACTTTTGCTTATATTACTTGACCATTCTGGATTGTGATATTGGTCTGCTCATTATTAATATATTGTTGATTATATATAACATTGAAACAAGAGGAAGCTGGAAATATTTACAAGGATATGGCTTTTCTCTGGGTGTCTAACATCTTTGATTACATGAGAGGCTTCAGAAACAGAGCAAACACCATAAATGTGTCCATGTATTTTGAGATTAGGTCTGGAAATTAAATAGATTACTAATTTCAATTGACCTCAAAATTAAACAATATTTACATGAATTTAACAACAAAACAGCCAAAAAAAACAAAACAAAACCAAAATTCAAAATAAAAAATTAATTAATAAATAAATTTGAATTAAAAGCTAACCTCAAGAAAAGTAATCTCTCTCTCTCCAATATCTGAACCTTAGCAAGCTCCCTCCGCTTCCCATACAAATCTGGATACTCTGGCGGCGGCGGCAACGACGGCAGCACTGAAGAAGAAGAAGAAGAAGAAGCAGCCATCACTCATTCACAACTCATCAGTGAAAAACAAAGAAAAGACAACGAAAAGAAAGAATCTCTGCGATGAAACAGAGCATATTTTTTTCCCAGTTTTCTCAGCAACCAAACAAAGAAAAGACAATGAAACAAAGCATATACGACTCATCAGTGAAAAATAATTGCTGAAACAAAGTACATACAGCTCATCAATCACTGAGAGAGAGAGAGAGAGAGAAGAGAAGGAAGAACTTCAAAGAGAGAAAGAGAAACGGTGGAGCTCACCTTAGTAGACGATGGTGTAGATGATGGTGCAGATGGTGGAGATCGATCTGAATCTCTGCGATGAAATCACTGAGATGAAATCGTTCTGAGTCTCTGAATCTCTGCGATGAAATTACTGAGATGAATCTCTGAATTGCTCTGATGAGGGTTTCGAGAGGATTGAGAGAGAGAGAGAGAGAGAGAGAGAGAGAGAGAGAGAAAGAGAGACAATGGAGCTCACCTTCATTGGTGCTCACTACCTCGCTCTAAGAATGAACAAGCAGTGGAGCTTCGAAATCGCTCTGAGAGAGAGAGAGAGAGTGAGAGAGAGGGAGCGCTCGAGATTTGGGTCTTAGGTGAGTCTCAGATTCAAAATTAGGGTTTGAAAAGAGGGGGAGACCAAGCACGTGAGGCACAACGCATTAAAAACGCCTCCCATTATAAAGCGGTGTCGTTTTGTTAAATAAATATGCGACGTTTTATAAAATGTCGTTAAAAATTAAAAAAAGTGACTTTTGAAAATACATCGTTAAAACCATGCCGCCTAATCCCTTTTTTCCTGTTGTGATAATAGCCATTGGAATATAATCTGAATAATAAAATTTACAGTCAAATAATAAAATATGACTCAATCTTATGCTATAGTTCATCCAATTGTGGATAAAACTTATTCTCTTATGTTATAATCAATTCTATTTTCCCTTGGCCTCCCATAATTTTGGGAAAAAATTACATAATTTAATGCAAAAATGTTTTTTTGAAAAAGTGTCATATGGTATAGTGAAAATATTTTGTTCATGTAGTGATGACGTACATGTATACAGTTTTTAAAGAAAACTGCAACTTAACCAATGGAATTAGTTTAGGGGAAATCACACTAGTGAAATCTTTTTAAAATAAATATTATTTCACCAAAAAAATTTATAAGTTTAATTATTAAAATTTATAAAATTTTTCATTAATCTAAAATTACTTTTACAAATTAATTCCATGACCCAACTTAGAGTTTTTGTGGAAATCTTTCATGAATTGAATCACATCCCCCTTAACAATCTGCCAACATTTCTTAAATAACATTAAATTAAAAGTTGTCTATTTGTTGATATTTTTCCTTTTTCTAATTTAGTTTATATATATATAAACACTTAAGCCAAGAGACATATTAGGCATTGATTTTCTCTATCTTACTCAGATTTGTTTTATATATATATATATATATTTATTTTTTATAAATTTGTTGTGTCCAGATACATATTAACATGATTGTACACTTGATATATGAATTTATTAAATAATTTTTTATGGTTTTTTCCCTATCATATTCATAATTTAATGTACATATTAAAGTTTGCTTTTATTTTTTAATTATATTTTTGTATAAATTATTTTATTAAATTTTTCTTGGCCTCTTAAATAAAATTAAAATTTTCAACATATTTCAGGTAAATAGATGATTAGTGTCGGACTCTTAGATGTTAACATATAAGAGCTTTAGATTCAAAAATAAAATTTTATTGCAAAAAATATTGGGAAACCAATTTTTGTCGTCATAAGAGTCGTGAGTAAAATATCATCCCAAAAATAAATATAAAAACAAAAAACAAAATAACCTTTAGTGATAAAGTTTTGAAAATGTTGCTAATATATGCAAAATATGTAGGAAATGCAAGAAATGTCAATCAATATAAAATGGTTATATATTAAAGGAAAAATATCAAAAAAAAAAAATAAATAATGAAAAGTATAAAAAATAATTATAAATTCATGAAAGTACAACACTCATTTGCACAATCTAATGCATAAATTCTTTGAAGTTTCATGAATTTATAATTATTTTTTCAACTTTTTATTTTTTTTTATATTTCCCTTATATTAAAAGGAAATGCATGAGGAATAATATGACAACTTAGATATCATGTTAAAGAATAGGTGAAGCGCAATCAGATTTTCCACTTAAGAAACTTAAGATGAAAAGTGTTTGGTTTTAGTTTTCTGAATTTACTTTTTTGAAAATTGAGTTTTTTGCTTTTCATGTTTTATAATTTTTAGTGAATATTTTTAAAATTTTAAGTAACTTTTTTACTTTTCTATATGCACCTTACTTAGATGTATCTAAATAGTAAAATATTTGTGAAAAATATTTTCAAAAATTAATAAATACACAAAAATATGAAAAATGTATCGAATTTTTGTATTTTTTTCGTTTTTTTGGGTATTTAGAGTATTTTTTAAAGATTTTTTTCAGAAATATTATACTTTTTAAGTGTATTTATGCTAGGTGTGTCTAAAATTTAAAAAAAAAAATTGCTTAAAATATTTTAAAAAATCATTGAAAACATTAAAATATAGAAAATAAAAAAGTAGAATTTTTTGAAAATTGTTTTCTGAAAAAAAGAACCACACAAGCTCGGGAAGATATTTTTTTTAGGCCTTTGGGAGAGGAAATGTTTTATTAATATTTTGTTATTGAGGCGAATGGTGTAAACAGTACCGTTCGGTTCGGTGCTAAACCTTATCTGAATATTGACTATTGGCTACAATTCGGTTTATAGGTTTGGTGCAAATGAGGGACTTGAATGAAATTTTAAGATGTTTTATAAAAACTTGTAAAATTTAAAATAAATAAAGAAAAAGTATGAAAGTTTCTCTATAAATGTTTCATTCTCCAGTTTTTATCACAAAAATTGTATTGTAGTAGTAACTTATCTCCTAATGTTTAAAGAATTTAAATATAATATTTTGATTGGTTCGAATTGTATCAATGTAAAAATTTTCAAAATTTAAACGAACTGTACATTATGAAAAACAAACCAAAAATCAAAATTTCACTCTAAACAAGGCTCATGTAAAGTGATTTTTTTTGTTAGCTCTTTAGATGATTTAAAGTATGAAAGTTTCTCTATAAATGTTTCATTCTCCAGTTTTTATCACAAAAATTGTATTGTAGTAGTAACTTATCTCCTAATGTTTAAAGAATTTAAATATAATATTTTGATTGGTTCGAATTGTATCAATGTAAAAATTTTCAAAATTTAAACAAACTATACATTATGAAAAACAAACCAAAAATCAAAATTTCACGCTAAACAAGGCTCATGTAAAGTGATTTTTTTTGTTAACTCTTTAGATGATTTTTATTTATTTATTTAGTTTTATTCATGGGGTCATTGGATAAAGAGGATATATATATATATATATATTAAGCTTTAGACAGATTTTTAAAATTTTGAAGGGCATAATTTTGACACATCTTAAAAAGGACGGTAACCATTTTATGTCATTCACTGAATAATTGTAAGCCTTTTACCCAAATGCTACCATATAAATGCTTTGTCATTCCTACCTTTCTCTAAAGTCCATAATGTTGCATAGAAGATTGCCTCCCAAATAATTTTCTCCAAGTTTCAATTTTTCAAACCAGCATAGCACAAGACCTTCTGAGGAAACAAGAACTGACCATTTAATTTTCTCGAGTTTGACTTGTTAAAATCTCATTCTAGATCGGTTCGTAATGTAAGCAAGTCAAGTTTCAACATATTTTAAAAGTTGTTACGTAAATAAGTTGTACGTTTGGAAGCTCGTTAAGTTTTCAAGCCAAATTTAAATAGCCTACCACTTGATATCAACTCAACTTGTTTGTAATCCTATCCACAGCAGACATAGACTAATGTTCTTCCAAATGAGACTCCTACTCACAGCTTTGCCTCCATTGAGCTCTCCCTCATAAGGACGTGATAGTAAATTCCTTCCAAGGTACTTAGTGGCTCCTAATAGGCCAAAGATTCCATGATTGAGTCCAGATCCTCTAAACCCTCTAAAATGATGAATTTTTATTTTTTTTTTATGGGGGGGGGGGGGTTTAAGGTTGAGGTTTGGGAGCTGAAAGCTGAAATGATTATTGTACCTACAACTTCTGTAAAATTAAATCTAGCCATCCAAAAAAAAAAAAAATCACAGCATGATCATTTTGGGAAAAATCACTCACCATGATTTTGATCTGTATATCCACAAGGCAGAAGAACCTCAGAAATACCTCCTTATGAGCTTTTCCATCTACCCAAGCATCATTCCAAAGCTTTATCGAAGAACCACAGCCAACCTTAATTGATAACCCTCCCAACAAGACATTCCAAAATTTCGAAAATGAGGCGATCTAAGGAGAGAATTGGCTTTCCATACCTTTGACAATTTTCCACTGATCTGAACAGTTACGAAATCAAACAGCCATCTGGGTAATCCTACATTTTTACACACATAATTTCTTTCCACACCAAACCTCCACCAATATTTTTTTATTTTTATTTTTTTTTTAGTCACAGAGCTCCATCTTAAAATGATGTAATTTCCTTCATCTTCATTGTCACCCTTCAAAGAACATTTTTCAAATTTTCTCAAGAGCGTTTGTCATACTTGCAGGAATTCTGAATCAAGACATGTAATATATGGACAAGTCCAATAATTTTGATTTAAGTCTTCTCCCAAAAGCATTCCTAGATATAAGATGTGGTTCGTTGAACTTCCTCTTTCATGAATAACTCTAATAATCCAACTCCGCATAACCGACTTTCTTGAAAGTTGATCTTTGAACCCGAAATCCATTCAAAGCATCTCAAGATCTCCTCTTTGCATTTGTCGATTTCTCTTTCATATTGAGATGTTCTTGCAACGGTTATCAATGACTCAGATTTGTGTAAGTTTTCTGAATAAGATGACAGAGACTTCGATCTTCAATTTTGAAAAATCAACAATGTCGACAATTTGTAGAAACCAATTTCCTTGGCATAAAATGTTTTTGACCATATTACTTTCCACTCTGCTAACCATCCTCAGATTAGGGATGACCATTTTAATTCGATCCTCAGGGCTCGTCCATACTTTTTTTTTTTGATCAGCGAAGAAAAGGAAGCTTTATTGATGAAAACCGAGAAAGGAAATACATCAATAAGGAAGAAGGGGAGGGGGAAGGGAAAGGGGAAAGATGGTGAGTTGGTGAGTAACCAACCACAACAACAAACCCAAACCACAATACAACCGAAATCAGAAACATACCAAAGCCAACAGATAAAAAATACAACCAGCCAAAAAACAAAACAATACAAAGACTGAAGGAGATCAGCAACAGCAAACCATGTTTCCCTTTGCTACCAGAGGGCAAATGCACTGCCTACCCAGACCAGAACCAAGCAGGCCTCTGCACTGCCTTGACAAACCCGAAGCTGGTACCTACCACTCTGCATCCAAGCTGCATATATACCAATCTGCTTCAAACCCATCTGCTAGCATTCTGCATAATGACATAAGCTTCACTTACAGGAGCTTCACTGGAACCAGACAGAGAGCTTCAGACCAGCCTTCTACAAACACATCTGCTACTTCCCACACTGGTACCACTCTGCATAATGACAGAACAAGCACAACCTACGAGATACAACCTCTCACCTGCTTCAAATTTGCGACAATATCATGCACAGTGTAATTCACCCCTTTAATATATGACTTGATCCATAATGCAATTCTTACTTTCATTAGCTCTACTATCTGTGCAAAATCTGCGCTACCATTGTTAAATAAGCATTCATTCCTAAGTTTCCATAAGGACCAAAGCATGGCCAAAGGGACCACCTTCCAAATGTTGAACTCCTTCTTCCTGAATTTCATACCAAACCACCAGTCAAGCAGAATAACCACAGATCCTGGTGTTACCCACTGCACTTCCCACCAGTTTACCAACTCAGACCATAACTTCCATACCAATGGGCATAAAAGCAACACATGATTTATGGTTTCTACCTCTGCTTTGGAAAATACACATAGTGGGCTAACATTGGCAGGTATAGCTCCAATCCTTTGCATGAATTCTGCTGTTTTAAGTCTCCCTTTCCAAGCTAACCAGCTGAAGAACTCAGGCTGCATTTTTCCACAGGAACTTTGAAATGGAAACTGTGGGTCCATTAACTAATTCCAACCTTTTCCACACTGATGCCACAGAGAATACTCCAGAATTACTTGCTCTCCACAAACAGTAATCCTCAGTTAGAGGATTTAGATTAGGTACCTCTGCTAGTAATACATTTAGCCTATGAGCTTCCTCCTCCTCCCATGCTAAAAGTGATCTTCTAAATGCCAACTTCCAATCACTGCCCGGCCCTTTCCGGTGGTAAAAAAAATTGCAAGGAACCTTCCTTCTCCACTGATAAACTAAATAGTCTAGGAAATTCACTCCTAAGACTCATATCATTGAACCATCTATTCGTCCAAAAATGAATTCTTTCCCCATTTCCCAAAATAATCCTGAAGTTTTGTGAGAAAAACTCTGCCGCTACACTATTTGCTGAAGGTAATGATACAATGTCCTTCCACACTGTAGATACCATTGCAGCTAACACTGTTTCTGGTTTCCACCTGCCCCCATTCCCACCATATCTGCTACATACCACCATTTTCCATAGTGACTGATGTTGATGACCATACCTCCACCACCATTTTAACATTAAACAGATGTTAACATCACTGAGACTTCTCACACCCAACCCCCCTTGGGCTTTACTTTTACACACCTCTTTCCATTGGACTAAGTGAATTTTCCTTTGAACTTCCGAACCACCCCATAAGAAGTTTGATTGAATCCTATCAATTGTTTTAGCAACACCAATAGGCAATTTGAAAATAGATAGAAAATACACTGGAAGATTTGACAATCCAGACTTAATTAGGGTCAATCTACCGGCAAAGGACAAGAATCTCCTCTTCCAAGATGCTAATTTCTTTTTAAACTTCTCCACCACTGGTTTCCAAGTACTTATTTTCCTTGGGTTGGCCCCTAAGGGTAAGCCAAGATATGACAAAGGTAGTCTCTGGTTGAGGCAATTCAGGTTGTTAGCAAACTCCTTAACTAGCTCCTCTTCCACTCCAATTCCACAAACAATACTTTTATGAAAATTAATCTTGAGGCCTGACATGACTTCAAAACACCTCAAAATTCTTTTAAGCACCCTGATTTCATCCCAATTGGCTTCACAAAAAATAATAGTGTCATCTGCAAATTGTAAATGAGAGATTATCAATTCTTGATGACCAACTGAAGCTCCTCTGATCATCCCCTTTTCTTTGGCTCTCTCTAACAGAATATTTAGACCTTCTGCAACTATAGTAAAAAGGAAAGGCGATAGTGGATCTCCTTGCCTCAAACCCCTCTGAAGAGAGAACTCTGCTGTGGGTGACCCATTTACAAGCACTGAGATCCTTGACGTAGAAATACAAGACCTAATCCAACCCACCCATTTATCTCCAAACCCAAAATTTTCCATCATTGACAACAAAAACTCCCAGTTAACTGAATCATAGGCCTTCTCAAAATCCAATTTAAGAGTGATTCCTTTTTTCTAGGACTTTCTCCACCAATCCACCACTTCATTAGCAATTAAGACCCCATCAAGGATGCATCTACCCGAAAGAAAAGCAGTTTGAACCTCTCCTATGAGTTTTGGGAGCACTTGTCTTATTCTTCTGGACAACACTTTAGCCAACACTTTATAAATTGAGCTAACCAAACTTATAGGCCTAAAATCACTCAAGTTTAGTGGGTTCTTCTTTTTAGGAATCAAGGTAATGAAAGAGCTGTTTACCCCTTTAGCCAACTTCCCATTACGATGAAACTCTTGGAACAACTGCATGAACTCACCTTTCATTATAGACCAGCACTTTTGAATGCAATGCAGATTAAAGCCATCAGGTCCAGGAGCTTTATTCCCATCACAATCTTGAATGGCTGCCCAGATTTCTGCTTCACTAAAATTATCCTCCAGCACTTCCTTTGAATCAACATCAGTAATGGACAAAAAGGACCCTGCCAACTTAGGCCTACTCTCCCAGCTTTCAGCAAAGACCCTTGTAAAATAATTCTCCACTACTTGCTTCACTATGCTTGGGTCTTCCACCGCAACACCATTTACCTGAACGGAGTCCAATAAATTTTTTCTCTGCCTGTTACTTGCCATCAAGTGAAACAGTCTAGTATTTTTATCCCCATTTTGTGCCCATGACATTCTAGATTTTTGTAGCCACATCCTCTCCTTACTTCTCACGTCTTCTATTCACCTCTGATTCCAACAAGGATCTAGATTCCGCCTTCAAGTCCCACTCATGAAGTTCATCTTCAGCTTGTTTAAGTAGATCATCAATATTACCAAAGACCTCCATATTCCACCTCCGCAGATACGCTCTCAGTCTTTTGAGCTTAATCATGATTCTAAAACTAGCCCATCCCTGAATCTGTACCTCCTCCCAGACCTTCTCCACTTCCTTCTTAAACTGAGGATGTGATGTCCAAGCATTAATAAACCGAAAAGGTTTTGGCCCCCAATCCCTTCCATCCTCCATTAGCAAAACTGGACAGTGATCTGAAATGACTCTAGGCAATCCCCATTGTTTAAATTTATACCTCTCCAGCCAAACAGGATCAAGCAAAAACCTATCAATCCTACTCCACCTCTCCCCATCCAATGCATTACACCATGTGAATAATCTACCATGCATATTCAGATCAATTAATTCCAAGCTCTCTATAAAATTGTTAAAGTCTTTCATACCCCTTTCCCTTCTTGAGCAACCTTTCCTCTCACTCATAACTCTAATCTCATTAAAATCACCACCCAAACACCAAGGGTTAGGATAAGAGAGTTTAAGTTTTACAAGACTCTCCCAAAGTTTCCTCCTCTTCAGTGCATCAGTCGGGGCATAAATATTGCAAATAACACAATGAAATGATTGAGATAAGATACCTGAGAGAAGAATGAAGTTCCTGGAACTGCAGCATTCTATCAATTGAAAAATTTGGGTGTTCCAAATGCAAAGGAGGCCACCTGCACTTCCTTCTGAACCCACCTCCATAAATCCCATATCATCCATGGGCCATAAGGACTTGACAAAAGTATCATCAATTTCTTAGTCTCGTGCAGCATCAAAACATCTACTAATTTTGCTCTCACCAAAGCCTTAATTTTACTCCTTTTTTCAGGTTTTCTAAGACCCCTAACATTCCATGACATGATCTTCATTAAACAATCTTCAACGCAGCCTCTATTCTCCTTCATTTTTCCAGGAGCTTAATCTGCCTTTACCCTTCCTTCAGCTCTCTCCATATCTTTCTCCTCCAGCTCCATTATTTTGGCCACCACTTCCTCTTCCTTCCCTTCACAGTTGAGCCCTAATGCCTTCCCGACCTCAATCGTAGCTTGGGCCTCCTTGAGTATCTTTCTTCTCCTTTGGGAACTGCTGCTTTGTGACGCTTGTAGAGACATAGCCGCTGCTGCCGCTCGAAGGATCACTCCACCTCTGAGACAGTTGCTGAATAGGATCCCTTTCTGTTTTGATTTGCCACCCTGCTTCATTCTTTCTTTTCCCTTTTCACTGCCTTTCCTCTTCAGGTCAGACTTCCTTCTTGATCTAGCCTGAGCTTGCTGATATGGGCCCCCCTTCTCGTGATTAGCTTTCTGGACTTTAGCTTCCTCTACCGCCATAAACTGTGACTGGGCTATGCAATCACTTAAATTAGAATTAACTTCCCATCTTGGCCCATTAATTATAGGCTGAGCTTGGGCTCCTTGTAGCACCACTTCTAAACTTATGTTGGGCCTGCCGCACTCCAACCCAGATGAACTATACATAAAACCTTTATTACATTCCGGATTTTCCACCCGTTGCTTTATCCATTCTCCACAGTCCTTGAGCAGACCGCCTGCACCATTCTTTCTTTCCTTAGAACACGCTCAGTTACTTTATCAGCTACTCCAGACATACAATGATAGCCTCCACCCACAGCTACTAAAGCTCTGTCGGCTGTGTGTGTTCCATTGATTGACATGTCATCAGTTTGTGCCACATCATCATCATTGTCCTCCTCTGCAACTGAACCAACTTCACCTTCATCCCCACCTTTAACACCATTAACAGCTACCTCTAGATGAACACGATCAACTTGACGCCTGCGTTTGGACAAATGTTCACTCTCATTGTGCATATTGGATTCCATTACTTCATTTTTCTGGCAGCTATAGTCACCATTGCATTGACAGATACTGACTAAGGGCTCTTCAAACACTCGCACTTGATAATCCCTCAAATTTCCTACTAGATTAATTACCGTATTAATGGGCTCCATCATTTTTGTAATAATCCTAACTTTACCGAACATAAAATGTTGGCCTCCCACTGTATCTTCATCATACTGAACCACTTCTCCCCATACCTTGCCAATGGCTTTAAAAGTTTTGATACTCCAGAGATTGAAAGGAACTCCCACACAAGTGAGCCAGATATATCTGTCACAATCCAAAATCTTCCCTTCTTCCCATTCAAATACTTCATCACTCCAGTCATGAATCCACTCCTCCATTTTTGCTCTTTCTTCCTTCATCTGATGGTTGGAGCTGAATGATAAAATTGCTAACCTTCCTCCTGCTTGTCTAACTACTACTTCCTTACCAATCCTCTTATAGATCTCCTTTTGAAAGTCATGAAAGGAAAAAAATGCTTTGAGCTTGACGAGAACACTATCATATAACCACCCATTCCCAGCCTCAACAGCTCTAATTGAGACGTTTTGTTTTCCATATTCTTCACCATTTTTACCTCCAGTTTGAACTACTTCTGCGTATGACTTGCCTTTGATTCCAATCATAGGTTGGATGGGGGTCCACTGCTTCTTCTGCGCCATGCCTCCCTGCTTAGCATTTGTTAGCATCGGTCTACTTTGATTGTACTTGCTGTACTCAGCCAACTTTACTCTCAAGGCCCTGTTATGACACCATAAGCCATCAGCTTTTCTCACTGCCACCTCTGCGGCCACCGTGCAATCGTACCTAACAAATCCAAATCTTGATCTTGTAGTTTTCCTCCTTTTCAATGGTATGAATACATCCTTCACAACTCCAAACTTGCTGAACAGATTAAATAGATCTGAAGGGGTCATAGCCTCTGGTACTTCATCCACGAAAAGAGAGACCAAGTCATTCGTCCTTGATCGACCAGTTTGCAGACCCATCCTCCGTTTTTTAAGCACCGGATTCCACCCTCCATCATTCATCTTTTCACTAAAAGCACAAGTTGACAGAGAGAGAAGAGATTTGCTGGAATAGGAGAGAACTCTATTGTTTGGAAGCTCTTCAGAGGACAATGCTTCGTAAATTTCTAAAACTTTGGAAGAAGTTCATTCATAATATTTTTTTATTGTTTTCATAAATTAGGGCTCGTCCATACTTGTCCGAATGAAACGGATTTTATCTGACCCGACATTTATATGGGACAGAAATGGATTATATTTTGGTCACCCGCAATAGGGATGGGGCAGGGCGAGTATCCATTACAGCATATAAGAGTTTTAGAAAAGTGAAAATTTTGTTACAAACGACATTTATGGACCAATTTCTGTCGTCGTGAGGATAATCGCTAAAAAGTCGTCCCGAAAAGTCAAAAACAAGGCTTTTATCAACAAATTTTTGAAAATGTCATTAATAAATAGATTTTTAGAGACAAAATAATTTGGTCTCAAAATGGTTTATTTTTTGAAACAAAAAATTTGGTCCCAAAATTATAAATAATAAATTAGTAATGTCCAATTTTCGTTGCTAAAAATATAATGACGACACTTTTCGCAACAAAAATATTTGGTCCCTTCAAAAATAATTTTGTCCCTAAATTTTGTTATCCAAAACCTTTATTTTTTTGCAGTGATCGCCTCTTTCGATCCAAACCTGACCTAATATAATTAATAATATATATAAATAAATAATATATATGCATATATATATATAATATAATTAGATATAAAAAAGAAATACTAAAAGTCTGTGGTTCTGTTTAAATATAAATAAATAACAATCTTAAAAATCTTAATGTTTATATATATGGAAACAAGAGAAATTATTTAATGTGTTAAGGATTTAAATAGTTTTCTATTTTTTTGGCTATTTGAAATATGGTTAGATATCTGCGGCGGTGAGGATGGGATTGAAAATTTTCACCTGAAATGGGGGGAGGGGTAGGGACGGAAGTAGGGTTTGAAAGTGGGACAGGGGCGAGGAATGACAAACCCGTCCCAAACCCGTCCCAAACCCGCCTCATAGCCATCCATACCTCAAACAATCCAAGTAACAAGCTTCATTTTAATTATGGTAAATTATGCAAATGGTTCAAGTAGTTTACACGATATGTCAATTTGGTCCCAATTGTTTTAATTTGCTCGATTTTACCCCTTAATTTAGCGGATTGTATCATATTGGTCTAATAAATAACAACCGTTAGGTTTGGTGGGCGGAAACTTAAACGATGTGTCAATTGGATCCACGTAATTTACATGATGTGTCAATTTGATTTCTGTAAAAATCGAGCAAATTAAAACAGCTTGGAGTAAATTGGCACATTGTATAAATTATAAGGATCAAATTGACACATCATTTCAGTTTCAGTACGCCAAACCTAACGACCATCATTTATTGAATCAATATAACTCAAAAACGGTTAGATTAAGGTACAAAATCGAGCAAAGTAAAATAATAGAGATCAAATTGACACATCATGTAAACTACAAGGATCATTTACATAATTTACCGTTTTAATTATTGATCATTTTAGGAAAATTCACTCCTACATTTGATTTGGGATGGATTCAATGTCAAATTCTTGTTGTGGCCGGAGTATTGGACATTTAATTTGGGATGGATTCAAGATTCATTCTCGAGTGGAAACAAAATGTAAAATGTAACAATATTCTAATTTAAAAAAAAAAATGAAGAAACAAGAATGAATAAGGGGTGAAAGCAAATTAAAGTATTAGAAAAAAAAAAAACACAAATAACATGTGATTAGAAAACAATAATGGCAACAAATAAAGACAAATGTAATAATATAAATAATTCTAATCAATAAACAAATATAACGAATAGCACACATAATAAACATAAGGGATCAATATTAGATAAAACTTAATTTGAAAATCATTTTAAAATTTTTGTTATGTGTACCAAATTTTATAATTTGGTGGTGCGTACTACTATGACTATAGGGTGTGGAATATTTTAATTTTGAAATCATATTATTAAATACTAGTACAATATAAGAAATGTTTAAAATTTTTGAAGGTGCAAGCATTCTTACAATTAGTGACAACTTTTCGGCATTGCATAAAGCATTGGTTATGAAGGAAAATTTATTAGGTGGCCTAGGCGCACTACTTGACAGTGCTTCCGCCAATCACCTAATGTTATGCCCGTTGTTGTGTGTCTTTGTGATCCAATACACAATCATGGACTCTATTCTACCTTCTTCATTAATCACAAAATTTTTGAAACACCACCTAATAATGTCTCAAGACCACTAAATAACATTTCATGATTAAAAGAGTTTGTGAAGACTGGCTTCTTGTGATGATTGGCTTCGCAATAGTAACAATCATTTGTTAACATATAAAATGAATTATTGGATTATTTCATTTATCAACGGGTGTTTTGGATTTATTTATTTGGTATCTTTTTTTTTTTGGCTTATTTTTGTTTTTAGTAAATTTTATAAAAAAAAAAAATTCAAAAAGTTTTAGGCTTTTAGATTTAGCTCGACAAGATGAATCGAAAATTTGAAAAAATCCAAAATAAGTCCAGAAAAGACAGAAATAAGCCACATATATATATATTTGTTTGTTTGTTTATTTTGGATTTTTCAATTTTTGTTGGACTTTTTCAAAAAAACTTGCATTCTAGATTCGTTTACACAAGACGGACGGGAAGAGTAAATTTGATATAATTTTGAAAAAAAGAAATAATTAAAAATAAAAATATTAGCAAAAAAGGGTTGCTTTTTTAGGTGTTCTATATTAGAGGACTTGTTACTCAAATATAATAAAAATCTAGATACATATTCAACATCAAGGAGTTCTTTAGGCATGCGTCTCGGCTTTTGGATTAGTGGGTGTTAAAGCTGTGGTTAATATGAAATAATCAAGAGTGCTCTTTTTGAGTTTTTCTTTGTTGTAGTGTGGTTGGACTTTGGGGGTTCTTGCTTTTTGTTTTTCTAGTTAAGTGCTTCTTAACTATTTGTTTTT